AGTAATATGCTTTGCTAAGAACTTCATTTGGACAACTTTAAAGATGATTTTCTCAATATTTAGATTTTTCTGCACCCTCAGATTCCAGATTTTCTAATAGTTGTATCTCAGCCAAATATTGTCCTATCATAACAAACCATACATCAATGGAAAGCTTATTTATTCAGCTTTCAGATGATGCATAAATCTCAATTTCGAGAAATTGACCCTTATGACTGGTTTTGTGCTCCAGGGTCATGTATCTTTAGAAACACTAAAATGTAGATGTTTTCTGATGCGTGTCTGTAGGACTCTGACTTCGCTGAAGTCCTGGCCGATCTGAACAGTCGTGAACTCTTCTGGTTGTCCCGCGGACAGCTGCAGATCTCGGTGGAAACAGAAGGTCAAAACCCTCGTCAGATCTCCGGATACATTTCTGGCAAGAGATCATGTGACAGTAAGTGCAGCCAGTCGTTAACAATCACCTCATAAATCACCTCGTTAGTACATAAATCACTGTAAAGAGCCATGAAAGGCTTTGCAGAGTTTTCTTCCCTGTGCTGGCAGATTTGTTAATATTTATTAATTTGTTTATAATTTAAATTATATATTTTTATAATAAATGTATAATATTTTATAATATCAAAATGCATTAATATTTGTTTGTTTCTGATTTAAATTATATATATTTTATTTAAAAGGTTATGGTATTAAAATGTATTAATATTTATTTATTTGTTTGTTTGTTATTATACTATATATGTTAAATAAAACAAAATACTGATTTGTTTTTAAAAATTGAATGTAAATTTTTTTTTAAAATAAATAAATCCTTTAAAAATAAAAAAATAATTTAATAACAATATATATATTTTTTAAAATTCTGTTTCAGTCTCTGCAAAGGTGCCGGTCCGAGTGAAACTGTTGTACCGTCAGCATCTGCTGAGAGAAATACGAGCAAACATCTCTGCAGACGTGAGTTAAGTTTTACTGATCGAAATGAATATTAATGAAACAGAATAACGAGAGGAACGCATGTGTCTGTAGGACTCTGACTTGGCTGAAGTCCTGGCCGATCTGAACAGTCGTGAACTCTTCTGGTTGTCCCGCGGACAGCTGCAGATCTCGGTGGAAACAGAAGGTCAAAACCCTCGTCAGATCTCCGGATACATTTCGGGCAAGAGATCATGTGACAGTAAGTGCAGCCAGTCGTTAACAATCACCTCATAAATCACCTCGTTAGTACATAAATCACTGTAAAGAGCCATGAAAGGCTTTGCAGAGTTTTCTTCCCTGTGCTGGCAGATTTGTTAATATTTATTAATTTGTTTATAATTTAAATTATATATTTTTATAATAAATGTATAATATTTTATAATATCAAAATGCATTAATATTTGTTTGTTTCTGATTTAAATTATATATATTTTATTTAAAAGGTTATGGTATTAAAATGTATTAATATTTATTTATTTGTTTGTTTGTTATTATACTATATATGTTAAATAAAACAAAATACTGATTTGTTTTTAAATACAAGTATAAATCAAACCCTTAATACATAAATCAGCTTAAAGAGCCATGAAAGCAGAGTTGCAGAGTTTTCTTTCCTGTGCTGACAAATTTTATAGATATTTATTTATTTGTGTCTGATTTAAATTATATACATTTTATTTAGAAAGCTATATTAAAATGTTAATATTTATTTATTTGATATAATGCTATGTGATAAGACAATAATGATTAATTAAAAAATACAGGTATAAATGAAACCATTAATACATAAATCAGCTTAAAGAGCCATGCAATTTCTTAATATTTATTTATTTATTTATTTGTTTCTGATTTATATTGTACATATTTTTATAATAATTTTGTAATATTGTATAAAATTATAATGTACTAATTTTAGTAGTAGTTATTTATTTTTTAATTTTAAAATACCAAAATTTATATTAATTTGTTTATATACAGTATGTATGTATGTATATGTGTATGTGTATATGTGTGTGTATATATATATATATTACACCAATTATTTAAAAAAAATTCATTTAATACAGGAAACATGAACAACAACCTTATAAATCACCCCATTAATCCATAAATCAACTTAATTTGTACTGTTAAATATGAAAAAAAAATTAAATAAGACAAAAAGACAACACTTTAACAGGAAGTGTTGTTGCAAATATTGAAGATTTAATTTTAAACAACACATTTCACTTCTGTTTGTAGGCTAGTTTAATCATCTTTTAGTAACACGCTATCGTACAGTGAGCTCAAAGCTGAACTAAGTGACACCAGACTTCACATTAGATCAGTAACTACATCCGTCTGTCTGCTGTGGCTGTTTTTATCCCGTGATTTACGCCGTGTTATATTTCATCTTTGTGTCATGCATAAATAATCTTGGGTATTTCTCATGCCAGAATGAAATTTCCCGTCGTACCGAGTTCATAATTATAATCACGATCGTGAAGAGGTCAGGAATGCACGGCTATGCCGCCAAGGGGTTAGAGGTCAAATGCTGTAGGATTAGTTTCTTGGTCATTCCGTATGTTAGTCAAGAGTTTGTGTGTGTGTCTCGTGTGTCTGTGTGAGGCCTCTTGTGTCCACACACACACACACACGCTGGCAGCCGCTGCCAAGGTCACGCTGTGCTGGCGCTACGTCTGCTGTCTGATTCCAGCTGCACCCTTAACAGCTTGACGTTATGTGTGAAGAATTCAAACCTAAACGATCCTGCACCACTCTCGCTCTCTGTTTAGTCCTCCGCCTTCGTCGACCGTCCTTTCTTTCTTTCTACATCGAAGCGGTCTCTATTTACCTGCACGTCGGCTAATTTCCCTCGTCTCCGGGGATGACGTCACTCCAGCCGTGACCTTTGACCCTGCATGAGTTCATGTGGGTTTGATTGTGTTTCTCTGGCTGCGGTGCGACAGCAATCATTTGAGTCCCTCTGGACCTCTAATCGCACATAAAAACACTCCGTTCGGTTTAGTTTTCCCTGGTTTTCTCACCCTTTCTGTCACACGCACAAATACAAGTTATTTAAAGAGGTCATATTATCATAATTGATTATTTTATTCATTTATAAATAGGTTCAAATGTAATGCAAGTCAAGGTTTTATGTGCCAAAACAATAAAAATTTAGTTTTTCCACTATATTTCTAACAACAAAAAACTACAAGTAACTACAAAAACATATTTACATCAAACTAAGAAATTATGTAAATTCGAAGAATTTTGCATTAACATATAATGTTAGTCAAAGTTTTATGCACCAAAACAATAAAAATGTAGTTTTTCACCGTATACATACAAAAAATACAAGTACAAAAAACATATTTACATCAAAATGTTTATTTTGAGAAATTATGTAAACAAGGAAATTTACATCCAAGTTAACATTATCATGTTAGACAAGGATTTATGCCCTAAAACAATAAAAATTTAATTTTCACCACCTTTCTAACTACAAAAAACTACAACTACAAAAAAAATTATATGAAGCTATTTCATTTCAAAAGTCATTTTGGGAAATTATGTTAATTCAAGGCAATTTACATCTAAGTTCAAATATAATGTTAGTCAAGGTTTCATGCACCAAAACAATAACATTTTGGTTTTCACCATCTAACTACAGAAAACTACAAATAGCTATAAAAACATTTACCTCAAATTGTTTTATTTCAAAAGTCACTTTGGTAAATTATGTAAATTCAAGTAAATTTACATACAAGTTCACATATAATTTTGGTCAAGGTGTTATGCACAAAAATGATCAAAATGTTGTTTTCCACCCTCTTTCTAACTTTTTTGCTGCTGTACCTTTAAGACCTTTGCTATCTGATCTATTTGACTATATTTACATTGTAGGTTATATCTAAAAATGATTATGTAAAATGATGTAAATGTATGTCTCTCAGCTCTTCAAAGCGTGATGTCCAGCGGTTCTGCTCTGACTCCTGGGAAAACCGGCGGCGTCGGGTCGGCCGTCTTCACCCTGCATCACAACGGCTCGCTCGACTACCAGGTAACGACTCCCTTCTGTTCCCTTATTTCTCGATGGCTTAGCCAGGTCCGTCAATTGAGCGCTCTGATGTTCTCGAGCAGGTTCTGGTGGCGGGTTTGAGCAGCGCGGTGGTCGGCGTGACGATCGAGATGAAGCCGCGGCGGCGCAGCAAACGCAGCGTGCTGTACGACATCACGGCGAA